TCTTTCTAAAAAGACAATACTTTTTGTTGTTCCCTTTTGCAGTAAAGATTTTTCCTCCACACAAGTTTTGTGGTAAACCCGAACTTATAAATAATGCATCCATCATTTCTTTCAACATTCAGTTTTTATTAGACTGAGGTGAATAGGGAAACTGTTTTATGGATAATTCCACTTTTCAAACACATTTCTGCAAAATGAGATTTATGCTATCCATCTTTTTCACTTCTTATCTTTTTCCCAACTTTTTTTACATCAATATTATATTGTTTAGACGTTTTATTGCGTCATCCTTACCGTTCAACAAGTAGACATAATCGTTTCTCATGCAATTGTCAATAAAAGTATCGTCTATAATAACCTTCTCAACCTTGATAGATCCCTCTTCTACGACATCTCAAATAAAATAGAATCTGACATTAATGTGTTTGGTGTGATCATGAAATCTTTGATTTTTAAACAAATGAATAGCACTTTGACTATCACATCTTAGAATTTGTTCAGGTTGAACCAAACTCAATTCTGCCACCAAACCTTTCAACCAGATAGCTTCTTTCACTCCCTCCGTTGCTGCCATATATTCTGCCTCAGTTGTAAACAAAGTGACAATAGATGTAATGTCGATTTCCAACTAATGACACTGCTAACGAGAGTAAAGATTATACAGTTGTGGACCTCCTTCGATTAAGATCCCATGCATAGTCAGAATCTACATAATCGAGAAATAAAATACCATCACTTTTTCGAAAGGTTAGGCAAACATGAGGATCTCCTTTAAGATATCTCAATATCCACTTGACAGCTTGTCAGTGCCTTTTTCCTAGATTTTCCATATACCTTCTTACCACACTTACAGATTGGGAAATATTTGGATGTGTGCACACCATAGCATACATTATGCTACCAAGAACGCTCGCATAAGGAACCTTTGACATATGCTCCACCTCATCCATAGACTGAGGCTTTTGCAACTCTGAAAGCTTGCATGAAGAGCTAATGGTGTACTAACAGGCTTGCTCATATGCATATTGAATCTCTCAAGAACTTTTTCGATGTACCTCTTCTGAGAAAGATGTACAACACCATTTTCTCTTGAAATATCCATTCCAAGAATTTTCTATGCAACTCCCAAATCCTTCATGTTAAATTCCCTGCGCAACCGTTAAATTAAAACATTTATCTTTGTGATGTTGTTACCAGCAATAAGCATTTGATCAACATACAATAATAGATAAATCATAAAATTACCAGACATCTTCTTGTGATACACACATCTATCAAATGCACTCCTAAAAATCCACATGTAGTCATGAATGCATCAAATCTCTTGTACCATTGTCTAGGGGATTGCTTCAAACCATACAAAGACTTCTTAAGTTGACATACCGGGTCTTCTTTTCAGGTTGATCCATATAAATTGTCTCTTTTTATTCACCATGTAAGAAAGCATTTTTGACATCAAGCCGTTGAAGCTCTAAATAGAATTGTGCAACCCATGCTAATAGCACGCGAATTGAGCTATGTTTCATTACTGGAGAAAAGATCTCATTGCAGTAAATTCCCATCTTCTGACTGAAACCCTTTGCAACCAATCTATCCTTGAACCTAGCATCTTCCACTTCTAGAATACCTTATTTCTTTTTGTAGACCCATTTGCATCCAACTGTCCTCATCCCCCTTGGCCTCTTAACTAAGACCCATGTCTCATTTTTTGAAGAGACTCCATCTCTTCCATCATGGATAACTGCCATTGTGTAGCATTTTTGCAAGAAATTTCTTCAACATACGAAGAGGGCTCGAGATCCTTAATCTCTTCTTTTATAGCTACGAATGCATGTGCAATCAAAATTTCTTGCTCTATAAGATGTTACGGTTTCTGTATCTGTCTTTTGTCCGTTCCCTTCGCAATTTTATATTGTTCATTGGAAGCAATTTCTTTAAGATCTGCATCTTTGGACTCATAAATTTTAGTATCTTGATCCCGTTTCTTTGTAAGCTCCACTGTTAGCTCCACCTGCTCATTGTTCTCGTTTCTTGACAAATCCATAAACATTTTAAGAGGATCAAGTATAGAGGATTCATCAAAGGTAACATCTATACAAACTACAAATTTGAGTAAAGACAAACACCATACTTTGTACCCTTTTACTCCATCTACATACCTACAAATATGACCCTTTTAGCCCTTGGTTCAAGCTTTCCTTCATTAATATGATAATAAGATGGACACCCAAATTTTCGCAAGTATGAATAGTTAGAAGGTTCACCTGACCAGACCTCATTCAGAGTCTTAACGTCAATTGGTGATGCTGGAGATCGATTGACAATATGAGAAGCATTATGAGCTTCTTCAGCCCAAAATACTTTGGACATGTTGGCTTGTAAGAGCATACAACGATCCTTCTCAAGAAGAGTTCTATTCATTCTCTCGGCATCTCCATTCTACTGTGGTGTGTTCCTGACCGTCTTATGTCTTGAGATCACATGAACCTTGCTGAAATCATTGAACTCTTCACTGCAAAACTCCTAGCCATTGTCTGTGCGAAGATACTTGATTTTTCTCTCAATTTGATTTTCAAACAAAATCTTCCACTCTTCAAATGCTTCAAAAGCATCACTTTTTGCCTTCAATAAACGCAAACCAAAACTTTCGCGAAAAATCATCAATGAATGTGAGAAGATACCTCTTTCCTCCCTTCGATGGAAGCTTAGAGGGACCCCATAAATCTGAATGGATGTAGTCTAGAACCCCTCTAGTCTTGTGCTTGCTAGTGCTGAAGCTGACCTTTTTCTGCTCCCCTAAGATGCAATATCTCAAAATTCAAGTGTTCTGATCTTCTCACCATTCAAAAGGTTACGGTTGCTCAATATCTTCAGTCCTCGTGCGCTCATATGGCCTAGTCTCATATGTTATGATTTTGCCTTGTCATCATTATATAACTACACTGCAGATGCATATACTGAGCCAATAATGGTGTTTCCCGCACATGTCTAAAGGCCATCCTCCAGCTTGGTCTTCAACATGAGTAAACATTCTTTAGTCACTTTCATAGTTCCTTCTTCACTCATGTACTTACACCCTTGTTTATCCAAAGTACCCAGGGAGATGAGATTCTTCTTCAGATCAGGAACATGATGGACTTCTGTAATTGTCCTCACGTTTCCATCATGACAATGAACACAAACTGAACCAATGCCAATTATTTTACAAGTTGCATTAGTGCCCATTAATATAGTTCCTCTGCTTGTGTCATAGCTGTTGAACCAATCTTTTTGGAATGTCATATGTGTAGTACAGCCAGAGTCTAAGACCCAATTGTTGTCATAGATTCCAATATTGCATGATTTTGTTAGTACATAATCATCATCATTATCATGTACTTGCTCAACAATGGATGCACTCGCCTTTTCTTTGGACTTTGACATAGGACAATCTCGTTCAAAGTGCCCCTTCTTATGACAACCTCAACACCCCACATTCTCTTTGTTCACACGTGACTTTGATCTATACTTCGATTTACTCTTTCCCTGTTGAGTAGTACGACCTCTTTCAAAGAGTCCACCAGCTTCGTCACTTTTGTCTCCTTCAAAATACATTCGCACATCACAAGAGTTAAGTGCTTGCCGCACTTGATCAACTTTGATATGTTGTTTTCTATACATCATTGAATTATCAATATCACGATATTATGAAGTCAATGAAAATAGCAAAGAACATGCATGCGTCTCATTGTCCTTTTTAATTCCAGTAGTTTGTAAGTCCATCACAAGTTTATTGAACCCATCTAGATGGTCTTGCAACAAAGTATATGAATCCATCTTAAATGTATGAAGACGTCGTTGTAACAACATCCTTGTTGTCACTGACTGGTCCTGGTAAAGCCCTTCCAGCTGTTGCCATAACTCTTTGGTTGTCTCTTCGGTACTTGTACTCACTTCACAAAGTACGTTAGGTGCAAGGCACAGTTGGATTGCACTCAATGCATCTCCTTCAATTTTTTCCTTGTTGGAATTTGATATCTTATCGGGGTACTTTCTGTCAATAACATGGATTGAACCTTCCCTCCACAGTAACACCATCATTTGGATTTTTTCAGATATTGAAGTTGTTGCGCCCACTAAATCTATCAATTTCAAAATTCATGGAGTTCATCTTTACTTTTTCTTCCTTTTCTACTACAATGTAGTTGGAACTACAGAAAACCAAAGTAATCCTTTTCTGATGTGGAAGTTCAGACTGTGCTGCAACCACATAGCATACTTAGACAGAACCTTGTCTCTGATATCGATTGTTAGTGAAAACGTGAAGTTAAAGAACAAGGAAGAACAATAATATCTAACGTGGTTCGGATCAAAATGATCCTACATCCACCAAAGAACAACTGCACCAATATATATTTCACTCTACAAAGAATACAAGTGAAATACTACAAGAGAGAGAACACAAATGCCTTAGAAGGTGAGAAGGCAAGTGAGAGGATGATTTGAAAATGAATTAAGAGCTACCTATTTATAAGAATAAATTCATCCTATTTATGTCATCCATGACATTCCTATATGTCAAAAATGTAAAGGTTAAGAATATGAAACCATTTTATGGTTTGCCAAAACTTCACCTACCAAGATACTATCTTTGACTTTTGTTTTTTACTAATTATCTTCCTACCAAATATTCATGTTAATTCATCTTCCATTTAGTTTGATTCCACAACAACAAAACCAACTCTTTCAATGATAATAATGATAATATTCAAATTAAAATAGATATTATCATAATAATAATATTAATTACAAAATTAATTTAAATTAAAAAAATAAAAAAGTTAACATTAAGAGGAGTTTTTTTGCTTTAAACTTTTGCCGCTTTTTAAAAATTCAGAATTTGCAGTTACACTTGTTTATTTTAAAAAAAGAAATAATGCAGCTTTTTTTAAAAAAAAAATATTATAGTTTTTATAGGATAATCTAGTTACTAAATAAAACTGATTGTCAAACTAATAAAATAATAAAATAAATCAAATAATATAAATATACAAAAATTAAAAGATGATTATAAAACCGCCACAATTTACCACTTTCCCATTCTCTCTCGCAGGGGCATTTTCTTTTTCCTATCCCAAAGAATTTGTGAAAGAGAGCATAGTGATTTGTTTCGATAATATTGCTCACTTTTTTATTGGCATGATATCATTCTCTAAAAAATTTGTTTCACCCTAATCATATTCGTAATCCTTTTGTTGCTCATCAATTTCAATAAGTAATTTGTGACTATTGTATTTTTGCATATATTGACTTTTATGAGAAGACAATCTTTCAGTGGGATCATTTTCAACGACAAATTAGAAGATAATTTGAAAAAATTGATCAAAAAATTCTCCAGGTAATATTTTATAAATCCATATGTAGTGTAATTGAGATGTTTTGTTTGATGGTAATAAGTTAGTGTATAATTAAAATAATTTCTTTCAATCTATTTAAATTTTCAAGTTTTTCCGATTGAAAACTCCTAATTCATTGTAAATTCTTTTATAATGAAACTAAATATGTGCATTGAGACTAAAAAGTCTATATAAAATCTAAAAACTAAAATTAAAATGAAAATTGTAAAACAAAAAAAATGGAAAATATGGATTTTTTCCTGTCAAACCTCATATAATAAGTTTTTCTCTTTCAAAAAATATAAAATACTCCTAATAAAAAAATTGTCACATGTTTTAAAACTAGAGAAAAATAACAATATAAAGATAAAGAAAAGAAGCATATAAGACATGAGATATAGAAAATGAAAACAATAGAAATAGGGAGACAAGAAGATGAGAGCTTTTCTTATTCAAGTATTCACCAAACCTTCAAGTCTATACAATACAAATTCTTATGCCTCTATGTATAGTGTAACATAGAGTGATACAAAAGGTTAGTCATAAACATGACATTAACATGAACATAATGGGGAGGTTATGACAGTGAAAGGTTACAAGAAAAAAGGTTATAAAGGTGGAGGTTATTCTTCATAATGAGGAAAATTGTGGAGATAATGGGTGAGTAACTTCTTGGTGTAGTGGACATTCACACTATAATATTTTATAACACTCCCCCTTTGATGTCCATAGATAATATGCCTCGTTAAAACTTTACTAGGGAAAAACCCTTTGGGAAAAAATCCTAGTGAAGAAAAAAAGTACACATATCTTTTAATACGCTTGAATATTGCCTCATTAAAAATCTTACCAGGAAAACCCATTCGGGACAAAACCATGGTTAAGGAAAAGATTACAACGCGCATTTTCCCCCCCGATAAGAACTTTACTTAATATCTTGGAGAAGATACATTTTGATCTTATATCGCAACTTCTCAAATATTGATGTTGGTAATCCTTAACGAATAAGTTTATTATATTATCATTTGAACGAGCCTTTGAACATCTATCTCACCATTTTGTTGAAGATTATATGTGAAAAAGACTTTTGGTGAAATATGTTGTGTCAGATCTCCTTTGATTATATTCTCCATTCAATTGAGCTATATATTCTTTTCATATATGGTTGCTGGAATATCCTTTATCAAAGGAAAAATTACATATTTTCTGAATATGATAGATTATGATTTCAATCAAACACACCTTTCACTTACTTCATTGATCAATATGATTTAAATAAGTGATTACAAATGTTTGTTGAATGCCAATATATTGTTGTGCCTCCATATGCAAGCAAAAAGATCATTTGCGATCGAGCTTTATGTAGATCAAATAAATATTTTGCATCTACGTAATTAAATAATTTCTGACTCATGAGAATTGATCAATTTCATTGAAGCTCGTCTTTTCTTCTCCATGAAAGTCACACATCTTCTAGAATTTGTATAACTAGCAATATGTAATTGCACCAATTTCACTAATACATAACTTTTCCAATCATTTTCATGAGGTTGAAAAGATCCTTTATTTGTGTTAAGCAATCTAAAAACCATGAGTACTCAATGGAATAACTTTAAGACCTTTTAATTCCTTCAAGGATTTTTATATAACCTTCATCATCTAGTTAGATGTAATAATCGTTCATTATGCATATTCAAGTATTTCATCTATTGCCAGACTGAAACAAGTCTCATTGCATTCACCATTGGAGAACATATCTCCATTTAATAATGTCAGGACTTCTACAAAAATTGTTTATTCCCCGAGGCAGGAATCACACTTTATATCTTACGGCTATACTTTCACACAATTATTCATTTGTAACCTCGCTGACATACATTTTGATCTATGAACTATATGTTCAAAAGAATCATTTTTCTAAGTGAAAAAAAATACACTTGAATAGTATCAATCATTTCCTTTCCACACGATGTGACAGATTCAAATTTAAGATCATCGTAGTCATTTATAGCACTGAGTTCTACATCATATCAAATATACCATCAACGATCATATTGATATTAATTCCAATATTGCATAACTTATCGAGATCTCTTCATTTTTCATCATTTTTCAGGTACTTGAACCTTTCCCAAGATCTTATGAAATGTTATGTCATAGTGCCCTTTAAAGCACTAGCCTCATTAGCAATGACAATTTTAATAATTTTCTCCTCTCCTTTATGAAGAAGTTTTACAATTGGAATCGATTGGTCTATCACGCTTCGGGCGTACCATAGACTCTATCCTTTAAGGACTATTTATTTGAGCTTTTGTAGCTTAATTAAAATATTGGGTCAGCAAATACATCTATGAAATTACTTGCAACATTTTTGAAATGAATTATCTTTTGAACTTCAAGTTCACATTTTTTTAACGAGGATCTAGATAATTCATCGCACACATAATTTTCAGTTGCTACACATATCTCCCCCTAATTTTAGGATTGGGAAAATTGAATCACACAACTCACAAGGTTGTCACAACATAGGTTCAAACAAAACGGTTAACTCACAAAAAGTCGCTAATAATCCCTTTTCACGTTCACAAGTACCAAATAATTGGAATTGGCACTCAAACACAATTTCAAAACAACAAATCCACATGTAATACCCTATAATATAAGAGCAACTTTCACATATAGCAAACAAAAAATTCATATTTGTATGATATAGCAAAGTTTGCATAATTGCTCTCCATAGCAAACATAACTATGTATAATTTGCTATACATATACAAAGAAACCAATTGTATAAATCGCTATACATATACAAAAGAAAGCAGTTGTATACAAATCAATTGTATAATTAAAGTATGTATAAACGAGAAAGAGAGAAAAACAAGAAAATTGGACAGGAGAATATTTGTATTGTATAATTATAAGTGTATAGGATGAAGATATATGTATTTGCAGGTGTATAGACTATTTTCTATCACTTTATACAAACAAAAACACAATTTATACATTTCGTTTCTGCTTGTATAAAAGATTGAGGCGAGGGTGGCGAGCGAGACTGGGAGAGGGAAACGAAAATAAATGTATATATACATTTTTTTTCGCTTTATACAAAGACAAACAAATTTTTACAACATTCCTCCCCCAATATACACGCAGTAAGTAAAAAAATAAAATAAAAACGTCTTTGGCTATTCTTGTTCTCCAGTGAATGAACGAAAAAAGGAAAAGAAAATGTATTCCTTGCTTCTCTGTCTATGAAGGAGCACGAAGATAGTCATCATAGAAAAGAAAAAGAAGAATCGAACCTGCACATTTATAAATATGAATTTCAAGGAATTTTATTTCAGTTCATTGACATGCATATATATGTATTATCAGGGGTTGGGTTAATGTAACATTGATAATTCGAATATGAATTTCAACTGATTTCAATATGAGAATACCCATGAATAAAGGAAGATTTGTATTCTACTAAACCTAGAAACTCTTAGTCTCACTAGTGAGTTACATTGTGATTGCTTAATAGTGAATTAGTTAGAGAATGTTTCAAATAGTAATAAAATTACGCCTATTTGTTGGTAGAATTGAACTACTGGCACACTAGTGAATAAATATGAGTTGACGAATGAGAGTGAACCATAACCTTAGGGATTGGGTGTTGTAAATTATTTCATGAAATAGGTCTATCAAGGAGATTTAACACGAGATTTATATTATATGAATATAAGTTGATCGAATGAAGGTTGTACAAATTACTTGAAGTGGTAAATTTGGTATTTCAACATGAATACTGTAAGTAGTAAACTTACCATAATTGATATTTTATAACTTGCATGATCTTCACATGGTTTATAAAGTAAATGTGTTACCGAATGTTTTGTACTTGCATGTGGTGCCGAATAAATATTTTACACTCGCCTTGATTCAAAATTACAAACTACAATTTTCTGATCATGCTTGGCTTGTGGGAGTGACTTGCTAAGAACATCTGCAATTTGATCCCTTGTACTAAAAAACTTCAACTCTATATCACTCTTGTTGTGTGGTCACAAGTGAAATGATAAAGGATGTATGTGCTTTGTTCTGTTGTAAAAAATCGGGTTCTTTGTCATTGCAATTGTTGCCTTGTTATCGCAGAATATTTTGGTCCCACCCTCTTGCTGATAGAAATATCAACTACCATTCTTCGTAAACATAAGGCTTGACAAGCTGCTGAAGGTACAACAACATATTCTGCTTTTGATGAGGATAGTGCAACCACATCTTGCTTCTTTGAGCTCCAAGAGATTGCTCTAGACCCTCAATTGAACACATTTCCAGTGGTACTGTTTTTGTTATCTATACTTCCTACCCAATCACTATTTATCAAGCTGAAATTTGCATCTTTGAAGTACCAAGTCCCGAAGTCAACTATCCCAACAACATAACGCAAAACTCTTTCGGCAGCACCAAGATGTTGCTTGGTAGGTTCTTGCATATACCTAGACAACATACTAACAAAAAACATTATATCAGGACGAGTATATGTTAGGTAGTTCAAACCTCCAATCAAGCTCCTGTAGTGACTAGAATCAGCGAGATCTGTGCCATCTTCAAGCTGAAATTTTTTTAATTTGCATTCATGGGCGTGGTAGCCGCTTTACAATTATGCATACCGAACAAAAATAAGAGGTCTTTTGCATTACTTCGTTTGTGAAACAAAAATACCATCTTCTACCTGTTTCACTTGAAGACCAAATAAGTATTGCAGAACACCTAAATCTGACATTTCAAACTCCTACATTATGAAATATTTAAATTCAACAAATAAAGTTTCACATAACCCCATATAGATCATGTCGTCTACATAGAGACAAACTACTAAACAATCACTTGTACCTTGCTTATCTACATACAACGTAGGCTCATTTTCTCTCCTTTTAAATCTATATCTCAGGAAATATGAGTCAATTTTGTTGTACCATGCTTGTGGCGCTTGTTTTAGCCCATAAAGAGCCTTTTTGAG